ATGTTTTGTCTGTGCTGTCTGAGGTTGGGCCACTAAGCTTCTTCAACAATGCTTTCAGCCGGAGAAGCTCCTCCAACTTGGCTTGATCGCGGAGCTTGCCTGTGCCGCTGCGAGCCGCGACTGCAGGAATCAGTCTTGTTTGCAAGTCTTCTCTGGCAAGAGATCCAAGGAAATTCAACCACTCACTGGACGGCCAACATCTGCGATTGGCTGCGACAGCCCACAATCTTCAGCAGCTCGAGCGTCTGATCAATTGACTCTTCGACTTTCGGAGTCCGGCAGGAGAGCTGCAGCAGCCGCTGGTTCTGGATGATGCCTATGCACATGGCTACGTACAAAGACTGCAGGCGACTCTAAAGCTTGAGCAGAACAAGTGCCTGGTTGTAAAGCAAAAGATGATCTTCTGGCACAGCGGCGCCAACAGGAACAAGATACGTTCCTTCGTGGCCAAAGAACTCGGTGCCATTCGCAACATCGCTCAGCTTTTTGTTCAAGGCCTGAAAGCCGATGTGGAGGTTGGCGTCCAGGCATCGCTTTCTCCGTTTGATGTCAACCATACCCTGTGCAGCGACGAAGCTTTGCCAGAGCCACAGGATCCATGATCTTCTGTGCGATTCTGCTCCTGTAATGAATCACCGCTACTAACATCCGATGCCAAGGCCTGACATCTTCAAGCCGCTAGCAGAGGCTGCACAAGTGGAGGTCTGGAGCCCACACCGCTTCAGCGGGACCGAGGCTGTGATGTTCAACCGCTCAGGTGACACAGCTGGCCAAAGAGTTCCTCTTGGCACGTCCTACAGCCTTGCTGGTGAAGTCACAGCCTCCCGGCGACAAGTCTTTTCTTCGGAGGCCCTTCACTCCAAGACGAACAGTGCATGACTGAGGACCGGAGGCGAGGATTTGAATGAGATCTGGTCCAGGACCATGCGGCATTGGTCTGACAAACTCCCGGCTTTGTCTGAAGCGGCTCCTTACCTAGCCCAGTGTTTTTGAGCTGTGGGATTAAACGTGAGACGACGAAAGCCATTCTGTCCTGAGGCTGCCCTCGTCCTGAGTTGCTTCCCGAGCACCGGCGAGATTGAGCAGAATTTCAGCTGGCTGCAGCAGTTCTCGGAGGGGAGAAAGGGCAAGACTTCGCGGGGACACCTTCGGCAACTCGGCTCATGTCAAGTCCATCTTGTCGTCCTGCATGGGACCAGAAATTTGAAAATCTTCTGCTCTCAGTCTCTGTCGAAGTGCCAGGTCATTAATGAAGGTCCGCCTCGACGGGCCGACAGCCGACCAACTCGTCTGTCGCGAGCCCCACAGCATCCTCCCGAGAAAGCCGTGCCTGAAACTGCTGCAAGAATACCGTCGCCTGTTTGCTCCGAGCGGCGGCTCGCAAGGATGCCGCAGCTCACTGGGTCGTCGGGTTCTGAACGGCCGCCTGAACCCGCTTTCAAGAGCTGGCTTGAAGCGACAGCGAGGGCTGGAGCAGCAGCAACTCTTGCAACAGGCGCCGGCGGAGTCTCAGCCTGAAGACCTCGCTACTTTGGAGGCTGAAGCCGGCGAATCAGCCAAACGTCGCAGGACTGACAAGCAAGTTAGCCTGACTGCCGCCCTGGAAAAGTACAAGACCAAGAAGGAGGAATGGGCGACACTTGATGCTTCGTCCGAAGCAGCCGCTGCTGGCCGCCTGATAGAAAAAGAGCGGGAGGCTGAAAAACGCTTCGAGAAGCTGAAGAAGATCGGCGTGGCCAGACTTTCAGCCGTGCGGTCTGACGTCCTTGCGGCCGACCGCGACCGTTTGATCATGGTGGTGCATGGCCATGACTCCAGCAAGACACCGGGCCTGCCTGATCTTGAACGACTGGGCAATGCTCGTGCTTGGCCTGAGTCGATCGAAGACCAAAGAAATTTGGTTTACGATCTGCTTCGTCATACATCTGAGGACTGCGGCAGTCATCGACTCCTCTACTGGGTCTGCTTGTCTGACGAGGTCGAGCGTGACTTCATCTTCAAGCCGTCTGAGAGTGCTTTCTCGGCTGTTGCTCGCCACTTGGGAGGCGGTTTTTGCGGTCGACAATGGGTGCAGGCATGCATGGATGAGGGCCGTCTCTTGCCAGCCTTGACATGTCTGAAAAGCAGCTTGACGACGAAACAGGAGCTGTGCTTGCATAGCTCCTGTATGTCTGACGACTCTGCTTTGCCCGCAACTCGGATGCTGGGAGCTGTTCTCGATGCCGCGGAGAGGGCTGACATTACAATTGCATGGACACGTCGCAAGAGATGGCGAGATGTTACTTGCAAGAAGTGTTCTGTCATAGTCGACGGTGAGACGGCTGAGAAGTACAGGAAGAAGAAGCAGAGGCATCGGGGCTGTTTGATGACAGTGTCTGAATTCATCGCTGCTAGCAACACGGCTCTATTTCGTTGGCTTTCGCACACAAGCTAGGTCATGAGTTTGCACATGTACATATATAGTCCTCTACTCAGGCACGAAGTGGACTGACACCTGATACCGCCCGATGCTGCCTGAACGACTGAGCGACGAGGCCAAGGCTATAAATTTCATCTTGTCCAGTCTAACTTGTTACTTGACTTGGTCAGGCACTTCCACACAGCCATCGAGTGCTTGAACGGTCGGCGTGCACCGGCTCCGACGGCTTCGTCAGGAACCTCGCTGCAATTGTTATTTCTGTTGATTCCTGCCCTCACGTTCTCAGTGATCCTAGGTACCAAAGATGATGTGTGGCTTGCTTCGACAGCAATGCCGCCCAGTCGCACTGCTGTCCCTTTGCTGTGGGTTTCCCTGCTTGCTCTCGACTTTCTGAATCCTAGGCAGTCGTGCTCTGCCTACACGGCCTGATAGCTGGTGCAGGGGTGGGGCTGCCTTGAGCGCCTCGGGGATGTTTCCTTAAGTGAAACAGTCTGAATTTCACGACGTCTGATATCCATCTTGCAGTCGCGACACAATTATCCTCAAAACATAGCTTTCTATGTGATCTCGGCTGTTTCCACGGAAACTCGCTTTGTAGATGACTGATGAGTTTGGGGTGGAGCCGGGGAGACCAAAAAGTGCCGTCGCAGATCTGTCTGAGAAGTTGTGCTTGCATCGGCTTTGCCACTGTCCTGCTTTGCTTCGGCGCCTTCCGACCGCTGAGGTTTGACCCCGGCGGCAGAGTGAGTGCCGAAGCCTGAAGCCTGAAGCATCGAAGCCACAACACAACATCGCCTGACAAATCACAAGCTAAAGCCTGAAGCATCGAAGCCACAACACAACATCGCCTGACAAATCACAAGCTAAAGCCTGAAGCATCGAAGCCACAACACAACATCATTCTCACCTGGAATCGAGCAAGTGATGCGTGGAAAGAAGTGTTGGACGTCGCCATGATGTGCTGTAGATGCTTAGTTTCCGGTATAAAAGTTTCAACTTTTATCGCCCGGGCCTTTCAGCCAGTAAGTAAAGAAGGGGATGGGAAACTAGTAGAGGTGATTCTCAAGGTCTTGTTTTGGGTTTTTAAATGGGGTTGTATGGGTTTGAAATAGGCCGCATAGCTGTAGTGCTCGAACGTAGTCTGACGACGTCACAACAAGCCTTGAACTTTACCCCTCCTCCCTAAACCCAAAATGTATATCCTTACACCTTCAGACACCTAAACCCTGGAAAGCTGAAGCCCATCACCCTCAACCATGGCACCACCTTAAACCCTATCGTCCCAGATCCCTACTAACTACAGACTCCCATCACCAGTGCCATAGGCCTTCAAGCTTCGTAGTCCACCCACCCTAAAGCCTAAAACCGTAACCTCGACCCTAATAATTTGAACCCAATGACACTAGACCCGAGAGGCTAACAGCTGAATGCCACCACACTAATCCCCAACACCCTAAAACCCTAAACCCTAAAACCCTAAACCCTAAACCCAAACCACAGATCCATTACTAATGGATCTGTGGTATGTCACTTTATATGCTCCACCGTCGGCTTACTGCATTATGATGTTTTTCAATTCCTGCATTCTAATCATCAAGGCCTTTGTGCCAGGGTTTCAGATCTTCTGTTGTTGGCAGAGATCATTGCGCGCGAGGTTCGTGGGCCATCTGAATCTTACGGGGTGCGGTTTAGCGTGCAAGAGATTGGTTTTGAGTCTGTCATGATTTGCTGGGGGGATTGGTTTGCATTGCTGGAAAGGTGAAGGGGTTTGGGGCCTAGGGTTTATGGATGCGTCATTAGTTTGATTACTGCCTCCTGATGTCGTTGATGTCTGTCGAACGGATTCGGCAGTCTCCATAAGCTTTTTGTTGCTGGACCAGTGCTTGACCTGAAGTTCGGGATCGAGGGCTACTATAGTTATAGGCGCCTAAAGTACCAATAATATTGCGGGGCTCTGTGTTCTGATTATAGTATAGTATAGTATACCCCCCCAAAACCGTATTCTTATGATTAAGGCCCTTATATGAAGCGCGTTGCAACCGGTGTTTGGGGGTGCTCGCCCACGGAATTTGTGCGCGAGGAGAGACAGTCATCAGAAAAAGCAGACCATATGGGTTTAAGCACAACTCCCCAATAGTTCCTACAAACCTGCTATCCCAAACCCACGTACCTAGTTATTGGGTCTTTTGGACCCGTATAGGGCCTTAGGGAAAATGAGCATTCATCATCATCACCACCACTGCCGTTCTCGTTCGCACCTAAGCCCTAAACAATTGAACCCTAAAACCCTTAACCCCCTAACCCTCAACCATTAAACCCCTACCCCTAAACCCACCCCTAAACCCGCCCTCCGCCAGGGTTACCACGGTGTTTTTGTATGCCGAAGCCACCCTCGTTCCCTTCCCATCGTCAGCACTTCCACAGTTTGGTAAGCCTAACCCTTACCGTCCATGTACCCATACGGTACAGACTTCTGCCCTTAAGTACCGTATTATACAGGGATAACTTTACGGCCACAGTATATACTCTTTTGGTACATGGACCGTTAGCGGAACAAGCTGGCCTTTAGTTGTCGCTGCAGGGGTGGTCTTCATCCATGACTTCAGCTGCTTTGGAGGTCGGCCCGGGGCAAGTGCGAGGCATTCAAGAATCCTGTGCAGTTCTTGGTCAGAGAATCCCAGATATCTAGGGTTCAGGGGGTTTAGAGTCTCCGTTATAGTTCCTTTTTTGGGTTTAACAAATTATTTGTTCGGGATCCTTTAAGGTAACCCCAAAGAGGAACTACAATGGAGACTGCCTGGACCCCAAAAGTATGTAGAATAATAGCCCTTACAGGGTTTTCGGCCGTTATTTAACCTACGTTTGGGGGGGTTTCGGTGTAGGTAGGGTTGAGGGTCAGGGCAGGTTACGGGTAGGCTTTGGAGGCTCTGGGTTCGGTTCAGGATCACCTGTGTCCCCAAAGGCTCCATGTACCCTTAAAAATTATAGTAGATACTTAAGCCTTAAAAGGGGTCCCTTTAAGGCCTAAGTATATACTATATGGGTACATGGAGCCTTAGGGGTCTAAGAGGGCCCATACACACGTCTATTCTCTAATTAGGCCCCCCGGAACCACTAGTAGCGTGAGTCTTGTGGTACGTAGTTCCATAATGGTAGTGTATATGGACCCTCTGGCTGAGCTATCCTAGATAAGTATCGGTATTCTGCTGCCAAGTGGGCGTTTGCACAACCTCGACACAGCAACATATAGATCCTTTGCAGCAACAGCAACAATAGGCTCGGTTTAGCGCTCTCTAAGGTTTTCCCAAAGGGTCCAAGTCCCGAATTAGTAGGGTTCTCGGCCCGAAAGTCCAAACTCTGAATGGTTTTTGGACCTTGACACCCTACTATTTGGGTACTTGGACCCTTAGGGTTTGGGTTTAGGGATCCAGCCTGCTGTCGCTTCAGCCAGCGCTTGTGATCTTGGCGTCCTGTCAACGCTTCCCACAACCTTAAACGTTAACCCTAAACTCCGAGACAATAAACCAGGCGAACCAGCACCTCCATCGCGTGCACATGAACCTCGATCCTGCACAACTCAAGCACTACCAAATAGCCTACCTTTCTATAAGGAGTGATAAAAGGAAAATACATTAGGGAGCTCTAAAAGGAAAGGTTTTGTAGGCTCCAGGTATATAATCTGTAATGAATGAGTCCCCAGAAGCTAGAAACCCCAAAGCCCTGGACCCAAGGACCCCCCCAGGCCTTAAAAATCACACCCTAAATCCTGTCTACGGCCGATAACCTACTATGCAGACCTCAATCAATCCGTTAAAGGACCCTTGAAGGAACCCTTAAAGGAATCCTTTCCCCTGGGGATCAAAATAGCCCCAAAAGCCTTATATAGTATGGTCTTTGGGCCGAAAAGCCTGAATATATGAGTCCTTAGATCCCTAGGGTTATACGACGGACCCTAAACCCTAAACCCTTAAAGGCACCTTTAAAGGAATCCTTTATACGGTCTTTAAAAATCTCTGAAGATGGTGCACGCTTAGATCCCCAAGCCCCGTAGGCCAGCTGGAACTGGTCGGCCGGCCAGAAGACATCAAAGCCATGGGCCTTGGGAGATTCTTCTAAAGGGGGGGGATGGTTTGGGGTTTAGGGGGCCTTGAGAGATTTTGCAGGGCTTTACGGTTTGAGGGTTCAAGTTGAAAGGGCTTTTGGGTTCGAGGGTTCAGGCTTCAGGGGGCTTGGGAGAGTTTTCTAAAATGGGGGATGGTTTGGGGTTTAGGGTTTAGGATTCTAGGGCATATAGGGTTTAGGGTTTGAGGATTATAGGGTTTAGGGCTTTTAGAGTTTTAGGGTTTAGGGGGGCCCTGACCCCTTTAACCCTAAACCGTGGTGTTATGGAGAGGATGTTTGTGTTGTTTATGCAGGTTTCTTGTACGCCGCATAAGCTTGTGGTTATTGTTTTATGTTAGCCTGTTTCGGGTTGTCGTTTTATTGTTGGAAACTTGGCTTTTGGGGTAGAGGTTTTTGGACTTTCTTTTACACACTTTGGGGGGTTTGGGTACTTGGAGGATCATGGGACTTAGTAAGTAAGGTTATAAGTACCGTAACTGGGGTTATAAGTAATTAGAAGCATGCTTACCTTCATTATAACCCTGGTTACTAAGCCCCATGATCCTTTAAGTAGGGGATTTAGGGTGTAGGGTGTAGGATTTAATACTTCAGGAGTTTCTGCTCCCCTGTAGGGCCTTGGTCTCTTATTGTTCAGAGATTTTCACAAGTTCGTGCGGACGTTATCATCCTGATACCGATATTTTCCAACTCACTGGCACGCAGTCGACAGATCCTTGTTGTCTCTTTCTGCCGGCAGATCCAGGTTGTGAGCGCTATTGCCGTGACCATTCTGCAGGCGCTGTTGTTCCGGCACGTGTCCACGCGCGCAAGCAACCCAAGAGTGCCAAGGCGAACACCTTGGACAAGCCGTGCACGTCCATGATCGCCTCAAGAATGGTGTTGTGAAGACAATTGCGCATACTCAGACAGCTGTGTTGTTGGCGAGAAACTCAGCTCCTTCATCGAGCGGCCGAGGCCTGCCGTCCAAAAAGTGCAGCACGTACATTGCTCCTTGCCAAGAACCGGCCGCGCGGCAGAGAATACGCCTGCGGCCAGTTGAAACCGCAGCTGGTCGAACCCTTGTGCCGCTGCTGCTGACTTGGTCACATATCATTCAGCAAGCTCCCGCCGGAGGTTTTCAGGCCTGTCAGTCTCACGAACCTAAACAATAAGGCTCCATGTGCCCTTCGGTATATACAAAGGCATGAAAGTACCGATTTTAGGACCCCTTTGAGGCCTAAGTACCTACTATATGGGTACATGGAGTCGGTACATGGCGTCTTAGGGCAAACCATTTCTCTATAACAGATCCTAACCAAAAAAGGGGTGACCTCAGAGAGGGGCAGGGTATGATCCTATAGGAATGGTTGAAGCCATGGGCCATAGGGCCATGGGCTTGAGTCTACAAGTTTTACGATTGAGGGCCTCGGTAGGGTTTAGGGTTAGAGCAGTAGGGATAGGGGTCAAAAAAATGTTTAAGGGATCGAAAAAACTATGTCCAGTAGTTTCAGGGTGAAGGTTTAACCATTCTAACGAGCATTTATAGGGCTTGGTTGGGTTTGGAAGCCTGCCCCGGAGCTGCGAATCAGGGGGATGTCGCCGGTTTTCTCATGTCTTCCTACTGTATAAACTTTCGGTTGTTGGTTTTCTTGTTTAGGTAAGTATCCGGCTTCGATTCTTGGGCTTTTAAAGTCTTACGTGATAGTAAAGCCCTCATTACACGAACCACGCGGACACCCTCATGTGTAACACCCCACCAAACCGTACTGAAAATGGTGGGCAAAGCCAATTATTCTGCAGTCAAGCACGTTTCTCTTGCCCGAAGCACATGCGACGGTGGTCACTTGGAGGTTCGGGGGACTTACTAAGTAGGTAATAAGTAGACTTTTACGTACCCTGAAAGGGAACCTAATTAGGGTTATGATACTTAATTATATGAGTCTCTAAAATAGCTACTTACTAAGACCCGCGACCCTCCAAGCAGGCTGTGGAGAAGGGCAGATTGCTGGGGCAGCAGGCGACCATCCATGGCACGCCAGCGTGGATACTTTTAGGTTTCATGAGGTTTCGGCAGCGGTACCCCGCTTCCCTATGGCCCCTTATCCACAAACTCTACTGAAACCCTGATCCCAAAACCGCAAGGCAAAATGGCTCCTTATCGCTAAGCTCTACAACCCTGATCCCAAAGCCGCAAGACAAATCATCAAAAGCCGCGGAGACTCGGCACCAGGGAATTCAAAGAGCAGAGCTCAGTAAACCCCAAACCGTTACAGTAAACCCCATACAGTTGGAAAGTGTCCACCGTGCGCTTTGGTAATGTATACTGTAATTTATTGTGCCACCGTCCATTGCAGAGACGTCATTGCGGTGTGACCTGCATTACCTGACACCTGTACCGCCTAACATTGATCGATGTTTTGTTGTTGTCTCGGTTTCTCTCTCCCTCGCCCTCTCTCTCCCTCTCTCTCCCTCTTTCTCCCTCTCTCGCTTTCTCTCGTTCTCTCTCTCTCTCTCTCTCTCTCTCTCTCTCTCTCTCTTTCTCTTTCTCCATCTACCTGCTCTATCCTTCTACAAGCATACAAATATGTGTGTGTGTGTATATATATATGTATATAAGGTTACACACCCTTGTTTGTTTAGTTCTCTTATCGGTATGCAGGTGTTGTGGCATCCTCCTCGGGTGGCCACAGCTGAGAAGGTCCGCATGATGTCGCTGGCAAGATTTCCTGTTCCTAAGCCCAGGGTTCTGGGTCTCGGGTGGGTCCTAATGAAGCCCTACCTGGAGCCCAAACAACCTACCCTTTAAGGATCCATATAAGGAAATCAAAAAGGTAGGTTAATTATTTGGGGCCCCGTTAAACCCAGAGGATCAGAGTGCCGAAGCAGTACGCTTTTTTGGTGCAAAATCTATATTCTAAATGGCTCTTGACCGTGAAACCCGACTATTTGAACACTTGAACGCGTAGGGAAACCCTGAACCCTAAATCGTTCGTTGTGGTATTGGATCCATTAGAGTGAGTTTGCGGAGTAGGTTGCATAAGGTGTATGAGTTTAGTGTTTAGGGGTTTAGGGTTTAGGGTTTGCTTGACTTTACATTGGTCTTTGCGCAATAGCACAGAGGGCCTCCAGCACTGGTGTAATATGGATCGGCCTTAATGCCAAGAGCACGCCACACAAGGTTTGCAGGTGTTATTAAGACTGCTTGCTTGCAAAGCTCACCATATGGAGGTCTGCAGAATCGTTAAAAACATGTTTGAGAGTTTCTTGATGCACATGCAGGTTTCATACCTTTTCGGTTTTTATCAGCAGAGGAAAGAAGTGGACTCCTAATCCGAAATCCGGACTTCCACCGTAGTGTCGTGGGTTTCAGGCAGTGGACAAGCTTTGGCGCGAGGGCACGGATAGCACCGACTGCGCTTCCGATTTGCGAAAGGAGCTTTTGGGGTTCAGGGCTTTGACGGTTTAGGGTGTACCCGGACCCTATAAAACCTTCGTTTTTAAGGTTCCCTATTACGACTTCCTTATGCAAGTCCTTAAGAAGGTAGGACATGGGGTCCAGGTAGGGTTTAGGTGTAGGACATGTGTCTATCTTAAGCTGTGGGGGGGGAAGGGAGGAAGGGAATGATGATGATTGATGCAACGTGCAGCTTTTGGCTTGGATTTGGAGGAGGGTCTTGAGGCTGTTATCTGAAAGGACCGAAGGATTTCGGATTTTGGGTCACGTTGTTGATGTTTAAGGCTGCCAGAGCCTTGGGTCTAGGGCCTATATAGGACCTTGCTGCAGAGCGGATGGAGCTTCTAGAGTTTTAGGTCTCGGGGTGTTCTACCCACGATCGACGCAGCCCCTGATTTTTGCAGAGAGTGTAATGTTCTGTTCGGGCAAGCTCCGCCATGTCTACCATGTGCTTCAGGCCCCAAGAATTCAAACTAGTGCAAAGATTAAGACCCTGAAGCTAACCCATACATCCCAGTATGAACCCCCAATCCCTGATCCTAAACCCCCAAAGCCCCGACCCTGAGACCTCTGAGCTAGAGTCTACTTAAAGGGTCATGGGACTTTGAAACTAGGGTTTTAATGTAGGGTTCTGTAAGGGTTCCTTTAAAGGGATCTATAAGGGATCTATAAAGGGTTTAGGGCTTAGGGTTTAGGGGAATACTTAAAGGGTCATGGGACTTAGTAACTAGGGTTCTAATTAGGGTAACTATACTGATAATTACTTTTAACACCAGTTAAGGTACTTATAACCTTACCTACTAAGTCCCATGATCCCTAAACCCTAAACCCTAAACCCTAAACCCTAAACCCTAAACCCTAAACCCTAAACCCTAAACCCTAAACCCCTCCAAGTAGAGCTCTTTACCCGAAGCCTTTTGGACCCCCGAAACCCCGAAACCTCAGGCTATTGGATTTCGGGTCAGTTGAGACTCAAGTCTACCGTCTAGGATTCCGGCGTCAGCCTAGGGTTTAGGGATAAGGGCTTAGAGTTTGCTATATACTGCTAGGTCGCTTGTTTGGGTATGTAAAGTTTAACTTGTATGACAGGAAGAAAATGCATGTTTGGCAGGGTTGACGGGGAGCGTCTTCAGTGTACAACTGAGACTCGCTTGACCGATACTCTGTTGTTGGCAATTTGCCAACTCTCAAACTAAGACCGCAGTCCCATTGCCCCAGACACACAGTAAATCATGACCTGAAATCTGCAACCCCGGCGAAGCCCTTCACCCAAAGAGCCCATATGTTTTTATCAACGGATTATGTCTTTCTCAACTTGCATCAATAGCTTCAGTAGCCTTGTGCAGAGGACCCGCTGCCGGTGCGAGGCTGGGAAATGTCTCGGGCTTTCAGAGCATCATGGGCGTACTCGGACTTAAACCCTAAACCGTGACTTAATGCAAAAAGTCTGACTTACCCTGGCACCCTGCCAAAAAAACCTTTTTCCCCGACGGCCCGCATCCGACGTTGGGCTTCATATTCTGCAAAACTACAAACCCAATATAGAAGCCATAATATAATATGTCCCCTGGTCTTCCTTATATGTAAGCGTTCCCCATCTAGGTTGTATCATACATGAGACATCCCAAAGCCCTATTCGATGTATTGCTGCTCCTGTTATCAGAAACCCCTTATCTAGTAATAATCCCGATAGGTGAATCAGACGATTTCGTGTCTGCCTAAAGAGGCTGTCCAAAAGCAGCGTGAAGGTGTCAAGCTGTCGGCTTTGCAGCGCAATGCTACTGTGGGCGTGGTTGCCTAGTGGAGGATCAAAGAGCTCGATTTTTTTGTTGAGGAGCGCCGGGTGCTCTCATCTTGACAGACATCCGCGGTTGAAGCAAGCGATTCGGGCATGCCTTGTATCATGAATCCTGCGCTCCATACTGCAATAACCTACAAGTTGCACACTTCGTACTAAACCACGAAACCCGTTAGCCTCATTACAACAAGCTCTCTACTCTGAGTCCTTCGAAGCCAACCTAAGGCTTGCCCTAAGCACGACTTCTTTGCTACATAGTTCGGAATACATCATGAACCCGAAGCTCTGCAGAAGAAGCATTGAGGTTGAAAGCATGCGGTTCCCCAAGTCTCGATATCTGTTTCGGACGGTTTCTACGAATGTAAGGCGCTTCCTGATAGAGCCGGAGCAACACCTACAGACTCACCAAATCACATCAAACGAACGACAATGGAATGCGTCTTGAAGAGCCAACCGGTCCGCATGTAGAGCCAGTATGGAATTATTCCCCAACGACCAGTCTTACTATGGCCAGAGGAGTACCCCATGCGGATCCTCTGGAAAATGCCTTCTTAAGATCAAGGCTTGGGAACTCTTCGAGTCCTGAATCCCTCAGTCTCCCCTTCGAAGGATTCAAGACATAGAGCTCCCAGAAAAAGGTAATTATCCTAGTGTCATGCGGCTGATGGTATGCCCTTAAAGTCCTTTAAACCCTAAACCCTTTCTTCAGGGGTCTTGCTTTTCTCCTG